TGTGGTGCGCCAAGCATGCTCTATTACCCGGTTCTTCCAAGGCAAATGACTGCTTGCTACATTGCTGCTCTCAGTTATGAAGAGGGCCTCAAGGTGTACGTCATGTTCGCTGCGGATGATAGGGCGTGTCACGGCGAAGGGTGTGGCGCAACGTCATTTCATTTCTTTCTTTCGACAAGTGACAAGACCGGATGATATCGTTCGTATCAGTGATTTTCCATCTTGTTGTCGCTTAATCGCTTGAACAACTGGTGCGGGCTGGCGGCGTGCCAATCCCAGTCTTTCTGGCACGCCCATCATCCGCAGCGAACAAGACTGTATATAAATTGAGGGTGGCGTAAGATGCGCTTTTCGTTGGCTTTTCCATCTGTGACACCTGTTACCTGCATGTGGTAGATAAACACATGCTCATAATGTCCCAAAACGGCAAAGCCACGCAGAAGCGCGGCCCAAATGGAGTACGCAGCCACGCCCACTACACCTTCAGGATATGGAGTGTATGTGCTCGTTGGCGTTCAAGTTCGTGCATCTTTCTATCAAGGTAGAACTAGCACAAAAATACTGACTCCGGCGCATGTAAGGGCAGTTTGACTTGGACGGGATTCGATCAGAAAAAGGGTAACTACTGAGACTGAACTAGGAACATGTAAATTGCCCGTTTATGTAATCAGCTGCTAACAAGGTCAACCTAACAGCACGAAAACGATCGATGGCCTTATCAACCACACTTTTCAGCGAAAACAACACGACATACTCACAAGAGTTTTATTTTGGATGCGTGAAAGCAGAGAAAATTTATTTGAAGAAATATGCGATTTAAATAATGCATGACAAAATAAGAGCGATGCTATATTAATGAAATGTAGCGATGCTATAAAGTAAATTGTAAGGATCGATTCTTGGATGTTATACTATCAACGATATGGACAAAGCAATACAGCAAAACCAGTAATCGCTATCGCTCACATTACTGCACGCTTCTCAAAAAGAAGTGTCACAGTAGGCGTTCCCGCGTGCAGTCGCGTCGCAGTACCTGCCCCGAAGATTTCGTTTCTTTTCGTAGTCCTACGACAGCTGACAAACGTACAGCACCGCATCGCATTCGTACGCATAAAAAGCTTGTTTCTAACAAGGATAGTATAAAGGTCACTTTAAATCTCATATCTCATATTCACACCCGGATACGCTGGATATCAAAGTAACAAGCGAATAATTATAAGTGCATTCAAGTGAATCGCCAACAAATTGACAAAAGAGAACAAGGAATTCGAGAGATATTATGCAAGGAATGAACGCTATTAGGAGCATGGGGTAGGGGGTCAGATCCTCAGGTCAGGGCACATCGTTGTTGGGGAATCCCCAATAGGAGGGGGGTCGTATTTGATCATTTTTGGGAGGGGGGGGGTATTTACGTTTTGGCGTTGTGGGAGTGGCGGTTGACTTTTGGTGATTTTCCTGTTTCACGTACTATATGCCCCCCCCCCCCGCTCGACGGCTCGATTCGATGAGGAAGGACAGAGGGCTGGGGGGGGGGGGGGTCGTACCAACTCCCAAAAAGGGGGGGTCGTATATAGTCGACTTAAATCCCCAACCAATGATGTGCCCTGCCTTAGGTATAAGTCACAAAGTGCACTTCAAAATAAAGTAGTAACGACATTTGAAAAAAAAATACTCAATCGACACAG